AGACCTTTGTAATGTACTTTAATTATTCTTTGTTGTTTTCATAGAAAAGCGATTGAAAGGAAACCAGAAGGAAAACGATCATAATAATCTTGACTTTGATCTTTATTTACCATAAATTATATGCCGTGTCTTTGCTTTCCGTTTATGCTTTTGCGTACAACTTCATCACAATAAGAGATAAATCGTTAAAGCACGAAGAGTAGAAATCAGGAGTTGGTGCAGAGGGGAGGAGGTCTTGCCAGGGAAGGAAGAAGGAAAGGTCTTTGGAGCCCGTTGTGTCCCCAGTTTTCGTTAGAGCAAATTTCCTTTGAGTACGTGCAAAAATCGAGGAACTTTGTGAAGGGGCCAGGGCTTGGGTTTGGGCAGCTGTGCGGTCCCGTAGGCATCTCCAGGAAGGATATTCCGAGGGCGGGTGCAGGTTGTCAGTCCCGTATCCAGACTTGCTCTGTCCCCCATGGGAAACGTGTTTGATAGAATTTCGGATTCGCTCCTTGCTCTTGGCCAAGCCTGGCAGGACCGAGCGGGACCGGAGCACCCTGTAGCCCAGGGGAAGTGACCAGAGCCCCAACGCTTCCAAGGCTTGTCCCGTGTGTCCCAGGTTCACCCGCAGCCCCAGCGCTCTGCTGGAGGTGCCAGAGCTGGGGGTGGTTGTGGAGATACATGGTGCAGAACTGGTGGCTTGGGTCTGTAGCGGGAGATTTTCGGTGCAGAGAGACCCAGCCCTGTAGCTCGGCGCTCACCCAGCGCCCCAGCTCATGTCCAGCTCCTGAGTCTGCCACAGGTCCCTGAGGGCTTGGAGAGACAGGAATGTGTCCCCAAGGGCACAAGCGCCTCTGCTGGGCACCGCGGTGGCCGGTCTGCAGCGGAGCGGGGTGACTCTCAGCCACCTGCCTGCACGGAAACTCTCTGCTGCTTTTTAATTGCTGTTTCGCTGCAAGTGGATGCAGCGGAACCCCCCGAGATCAGGGGACATGTAATTTGGACTCCAAAGGATCAGGTTCAACTTCTTTCCACCTTAAACGGCATCCAGGGAGGTTGGCCGTGGGGAGGCTGCTGGGCCGCGCGCGCCCGCGGGGGATGTTTTGCAAGGAGAAGAGCTCTGAGTGGCCCCAAATTAAATTGTCTTTTAATAGCAGGGGTGATGTTCTGCCTTTAGACTTAGGGGATTATCGGCCCTCATGTAAATATGTGTTTAGCCTTAGAGCAAAATGTTATGTCAATACGTGGCGGACCAGTTGCCTCTCGCAGCCTGCGGCTCTTCCCACCATGTGTCGCGGATCAGAGCTGGCCCTGGCCGGGCTCCAGCTGGGCATTCAGCGCCTCCCAAACCAGAGCGGGATGTGGGGGATCCCCGGGGGAGACGTCCCGTCCCTCCGCCTGGGCCCTGCCGGGTTTCTGGGGGAGCAGGAAGCTCCATGGGGGAGTCCGTGTGCACCTGGGCACCGTTCCCCAGGATGAGAGGCTGCAGCCACACCAGCTCCCACACAAGTCCTGGTTTTCCACCGTCACACTCGCGCGTGGGTACCGGGACGTGTGGGCAGCCTTGGCTTGGGCTGTGTGATGCGATCAGCCCCTGCGTGTGCAGCTGAGCGATGAGCTGCCCGCTGCATTCGCTGCATTCGCTGCATTCGCTGCATTCGCGGCAGTTTTGTTAAGGGGGGCATTGCTTCTCCCTCTCTCTGGCCCCACTTTTCTCCCACAGATTGGCATAGTAAAAAAAACTTAAGATTTCAGTCATACAGTGATCTTAATTTGTTAGCAGCAAAACACAGGCCAACACTGCTCGACGTGGAACTGAGCGGAGGAGGTTCCTGTGCAAAAGCCACCTCGAACTCGGGGGTTAACAACGGTGCAGCAAAGAGATGCAAACATTTCATACCCTGGTTGTAGGATTGCCAGATTACACCAATAACTCGACGGCATGAGCTTCAGTTCTTTCGGAAGTGTCGTGTCCAACTTCTTCCTTTCAGTCATTTTGTATTTGAGCAGCCTTATTTTGGTTTTATGCATTGCCCACTGGCTGCCTTTAGCCAGCGTTACGTATGGAAGCGGACGCTCTTGCACCCAGATCTCAAGCGAAAGCAGCCAGCTTTTTGCAAACGTAAATAGAGGCAAACGAAGAACATAGTAAATAAATCAGCAAGAACATAGCCGGAATATTTTCAGGAGGAGAGAAAGACTGCAGGTCTGCGGAGTTTCCTCCTGGATTGCTCTGCCGCTCTGATGTCAAATGACCCTTTTTCTTCGTTTAACCTGGTT